GTTACTACGGTGTGAAGCTGAGGAGGCCTCATTATTCCCAAGTCCTGTTTGAATTCCACTGCGTCCGACTACCAGCCGATTAGAGGCATGCACATTTTACGAACATCTACCCCATCGCTTTGTCACCGACTTGACACACCCTGCAACCGTCTCCGTTTGCTTTGCTTTGCTCCGGGGCTTGGGAAGCAGGCAGGTTCCTGCCTTCCGCTCCGGGGAGCTGCCCCATCCCGTCATTTTGACTGGATGGGCTCGGCCCTACGATGTTTGTGCAAGTGTCAGGTGCCCGTTTTGCAAACAGCAACCCCACAACCAGCATTGCCCAGAAATTTATGCCAAAGTAGCAGGCAACATTCCCTGGGCACCTTGTTCACTCGCTTCTTGGGCTGGTGCCCTTTGTTGGGTCTCCGTGTCCCTCTCTCTCTCTCTCTCTCTCTCTCTCTCTCTCTCTCTCACATGCGTTCATATTCGTTCTGTCCGACCTTCAGCACAAGCCAAAACCCTAGACCTTCTAAACCCTACACCACCCTCTGTAAGCCCCTGAAGCCCGGAACTTCAAACCCTGAAGCCCTAAACCTGTTCAAAGAACCGGCTATTTCGAGTCCAACGTCTGCCTTGTGAGCCTTGGTCGCCTCGCCAGACCTGGGGACTCCAGACAGGGATCCGGGGTTTAGGGTTCAGGATTTGGGGTTCAGGATTTAGGGTTTGGGGTTTAGGATTTTGGGTTCAGGATTTGGAGTTCGTGGTTCTAAGTTTAGGATCTGGGTTTTAGGGTTTCGGTTTGGGGTTTAGGTCAAGGATTCAGGGTTGAAGGTCCCCGCAAGTACTTTCAATCTCTATTGTACACTTAGTTGTGGTGGTCATTCTCAGCGGAACTTCAATTCTTGCTGCCATTGCTTTCTTTCACTCATGTTACCCTCGTCGTAAGCTTTTCGGACTGGGGGGGGTTGGGTTTAACTCTCCCGGCGGATCTGCCCATTCAACTCGCCTTTCGGCCTATTCCTTAGAAGGGGCCCCCACGCTGTAATAGTGGTATAATAGGAATATAATAGGGCCCTAATATAATCCTTATAGTCACTATTACAGGGTGGGGGCAGCTTCTAACCTATTCCGCAAGAGTTTCTCGCCGGGTGGCGAGGTCGTCTCCACCTCGTCGAAGCTCGCCGACACCGCCATCCAATCAGACCATTCCGCAATGGTGGAGGGGCTCCTGCTGGGACCATCGATGTGGGGTTTCCGGAATTAGGGGACCCCCTAAGTATAGTACCCTAAACAGTAGGATCCTTATTATAAGGACCCCAAAATAAGGTACCCCCAAGTTTCGGAAGCTCCCAGGTCACTGCGGAGAGGGAGAGCAGCAGCAGTAACTTACATCTGCACTGCTATCTCGAAGTCCCTTCAGATACAAGCTCGCCCTCCATACAGAGTCTTCAAGATCGACGACAACGCCAACGACACGAACATTCACCAAAACAACCGATGGAATCGACATGTCAGTCTTGCGCTTTTGCAAGGTGGCACTCCTCCTTCTCCTCCTCCTACTAGAATTACTATTACGTCGAAGGCGGCGGCGAGGACAACTACGACGACGACTACTGCTACTACTACTTAGCAACGTAACAGCAGCCAGACTACGGTCATGGCAGTCTTACTGGTTATGCAAATCAACGAAGCCAAACTTGTAGTGATGATCATGATGATGAGGATGATCACGATGTGGTGATGCTGACTAAAGACGGTCAAAGTAGATCCCTCGATTCTCCCACGGTGCCCTCCTCTGGCTCGAAGCGGGGCCCAAGCAACGGAGCAGCCAGGCACTGCGCTCCGAAGAGACGGAGCCTCCGGGTGCCTTCGAGGCTTCAGCGAAGTCTGCCTTGAGGGCGGCCACGTGTAGGGCACCCACCAGGGTTTCCAGCGGAGGTCGGGAAGGCCCCGAGCCGGAGGCCTTGGGCGCATGCCGGGCCAGGGAGACCATGCTTGTCATTGCATCGATATGAAGAGCTGCTGAGGGGTAGCGCAGGAGGAAGAGAAGTGCTGCCCAAAGTGTGCCCATCTCCGCAGGTGGCAAGACTTCACAGAAGCCCGCCGCGTTGAAGCTGCACAAGTCAGCAAGTACGCGGCCAACTTGCTGGTGGTAGCCGTAGCTTTGCGGTCTCTCGAATTCAAACTTGCATTCTTCGACGAGTCTGGCGATCAGTGCCGTTAATCGACAGATGTCGTGGGTAGCTGGCGATGTGGACTCACCTTTGCCTTTAGAGCCCTTGCCCGATGGCTTCTGGGATCCCAGCTGTTCTGCCCATGATGCCAGAACCGTCACTGCAAGCTCCTTACAACCGGCAGACTGGAAGCCAATCTGGACAATCTTGTCAAAGTGATGGCGCAGCAGGAGCTTCACCGGAACTGCGCTGGGCAGGGCTCGGCAGAGTGTGAGAACTTCACGGACCACCTGACTATCCCCTCCAAAGCGCTGCAACGTGGCCTGGATGGCTTCTACCAAGGCCGGCGCTCCTGAGGGCGCCTCGAAGAGCTCCGTCATGCCAGCGGCAACTTCCCGACGGCGCTGCGCCGTCATGTCCTTCGTATCCTCCACCACAGATTCAGCAAGTTGTGACCACACCCCTAAGCTCACGAGAGCAGGGCCCACTCCAAGCGTTTGTGATTTGAGCGAAGTGAGCAAAGCCGCAGAGAGCTCCGGCCAGGCACCTGGCCAGTCCAACCTTGCAATGCAAGACACGACCTCGGCGCACTTTCGTCGCACGTAGTTGGGGGTACTAGGAAGGCTCCAGCTGTTCGAGCCCGATAGTTCCAGTAGCCAGGCCTTCACCGCTGTCCACTCCGGCCCTGCAGGCCTCTTACTTTCTGCTATCTTCGATCGAATCCATGTTAGAGTCAGCTGGAACCCCAGTCGTTGAACTGGTGGAGCTTCTGCACTGACCAGCTTCCGTGCAAGCTCGGCAGAGGGCTGCCTTGGCAAGCTCTCAGGCGCCACATCACTTGGATATCCAGCTACTTACAAGTAGGTCGGGTGCACGGGCTGCCGTGCTTTCGTAGCATTCTCACGCTTTGCCATCCTTGTGACTATAACTATCACCGAACCGGGTCTGCAATTGTATAAAGCCCAGATACTTTTGCAAAAACACATCGCACAGCTCACATGCCTCTCGCACCTGATCCGAAGAAGTAGAGGGTTGCCTTGGTATCAGAAGCGGCACTCACCAAACCAAAACCCTCCAGCCTGTGCAGCTCTACCTGGGAGTTTCCGAAAATAGGGGACCCTAATATAGTACCCTAAATGGTAGGATCCTTATTATAAGGACCCTAAAATAAGGTACCCCCCAATTTTCGGAAACTCCCACCTGAACCCCTACACCAGCAAAGCCGAAGCGACTCCAGAGCCAGGACGGCTTCGACGACCCTCTCGGCAAGCAAGTCGGGATGCTCTTGGCTGGCATGTGCCATCGGAATATCCTCCAGATAAGGCTCCAGGCTCACTGCCTGACGTTCTTACTGCTATTCACAGCGCTTCGTGCTGCGACCACAAGAAGCAGTAGTCTTGCTTCTTAGTACGAGTACTAGTAGGACTACTAGTAGCACATGCGCTGCTGCTACTACTACTCCAGCCATGATTATTATCGTTGCTTTCAGTTTTGTGGGGTGTCATCGCTCTCGGATTGAAAGCTGCCGTGATGTTACTATTGCCACTCGTTTTGGACCTGCATGAAGATGGCGGTTCTGAGCCCCAAGCCCCCTAGTCAGCGAGCCAAGCATGGCGGCTGCGGGACCCGTGTAATGTAGGGGCCCTAATAATGAGAACGAGGTTTTGGATCCAATTCTACCACAACAAAATAGCATTGGCAATTATTTCGGCCCCTGTATTATGCATCAACTCGCAAGTCCCGGCGATTTACCCGATTTCAGATGTTGGGTGCGGGGCAGTCATCGAAAGGCGTAAGGGGTGTAGTGTTTGGTCGCAGATTTGATTGACGGCTACTTTAAGGAGAAGAGGGCAGTGCGTGCTTGGGAGAGCTGACATCTGCCTCCCAATCGATGTAACTCAGCCCTGCTGCTTCGCGGAGTCTTACAGGAGCCGACGTGTAGGGACCCTGGGCGATGAGGAGATGAACAGTTACTTACATAGTGGAAATGAGAGCAAGTCTTCTTAGGACAAGGCTCCCCCAAGCCGCCGCTCCACATGCCATGTGAGTGAAAGTGTGTGCGATCTGGCCCGTCTCAAGCATGCACCACAAGCTTAAGGATCAGAAGCACGCTGGTTGACTGGCTGCGCGTTGCTTGCTGCAGCCACGCAGTGCGCAGCATGGTATTTTTCATCGACGGAGTTCTTGTGCTGGCACGCATTTTGCGGCAGCGATAGGCAATGCCTGCTTCCAAGCTTGTTGCAGGAAGCGATCTCATTGACGAGGGCTCTAGAACATCGCGGGCACCTTTGTTGTGTCGAGTGATGATGCAGACCTGGGGTTCAGAACTGGGCAAGTAGGCTTCATGCCAAATGCACGTAGCAACCTCACCTTTAAAGTAGGTGGACGGTAGACGGGCTCTAAGTCGCAGAAAATAACGGCCGAGGAAAGCCCATCACACAAATTGTAGCCAGAAGCTCGGGCTTCGGGTAAGCACAAAGCTTGTTCTTGAGCCTACATAGTCCACTTCACACTTGAGGGCTGAGAGTTTTGGCACTGATCCTCTACGACGTCGATGATGCGACGATGCTGCTTTGGACCTGCAGGTTTTGAGACGCTGATGTCCTTCCTGAGCCCTTCTCGATACGCTCGTCGCAGACTAGCAGGGTCGCGGCTTTGAGCTCCGTGGTTTCGCAAGTGCTTGTCTACAATCCCAAAGGGTCCATGTACCCAAGTAGTACATACACTGGCCTGAAAGTAGTCCCAATGTATATTCTGACTATTTGGGCACACCGACCCTCAGCGAATTTCGGCTGAAGGCACGTCTACTTCCGCGGAGCTCATGCTTCCGCGCCTCTCAGCTCGCCGCTACTTGCCGACCTCACTTGGAGCGCAACTAACTAGATCATCCTTTTTTCTGGAGGATGTATTCGGCATGCCATCCCTAAACTCTAAACCCTAAGTGCATTTGCTTTTGAGGCTCCTTCATCAGGAGCCCACCTCTTTTTGGATCTTGCGATTTCAACATCCATGCATTTAGGATTTCGTCCGTTTGTGATCTGACGTTCAAGGCAGGTTGGTGGTCTCATAATGCCGTCAAGAAGTTTGAGGTGCAGGGTTGAACCTTCAGAGTCTTGCATGTAGGACTCGTGCAGTACTGGCTGAGGGTCATAGAGTTAGTTTTGAAAATCTGCCAACGAGGGCTCAAAATGAGTTTGCGTGACCCCTGACGACTCCGTCCAAATTCCTGATTTAGAATAGGGGGCAGTTAGAAGTGGGCTTTGAGGACTCTTTCTTTTAATCACTAAGTGGACGATAAGCCTACATTAGTACGAATCATTCCGACCCCTCTCGAGGGTTCAGGCATGTCCTGGGTTTCGGCGGCTCTGCAGATCCGAAGCTTGAGATTCGGGTTCGCTTATAGGGTTTAGGCTTTAGGGGCAGAGCGGGGACAGCTTCGGGGCGGGGAAGCAGGGTGTAGCAGTTTATGAGAAGCACTGACTTAGCTTTGAGGTTCGGATTCTAGCCGTGGTTTCGGCATCAGGAGAAGCTTCCGATACCCTTGCCGAGAAGAGCACGAGTTTCGACAGGTCAGCCCAGAAACCCTCACCCCTTGGCGAATCTGCAACCCTGATCTTAAGAAGCACGACATCCGTTAACCCCAATCCCCAAAGCCCGTTGCACTGAAGTCACTGAGCCAACTCCAAAATCCTGAACTCCAAACCCTTGGCCTCCCAAAGAACCCTGAAAGATGAAGGGTGTTCGCATCGAAACCGATCCGTTGTTGGGAGGACATGGTAACGTGCTAGTACTGAAAGAGCATTACTCCTAAAGGCCTAGATACTTCAAAACACGTGTAAAACACAACACCCGCAACTCTGAACCCTTACAGTCCCGAAGCCCCAAAACCCTACCTTGAACGCTAAATCCCAAACCTCAACCTGAACCTCTGTCATGGCACCGGGGGGTTTGGGGGATATGGACGCACCGTCCGTGGCTTCGTCGATGCGCCAAAGCCAGGATCCAACCTGCTTTTCGGTCTCAGCAAAAAGCATGGGGGCTTCCGCTTAGGGTTTTTGAGGGGTTTACGGTTGAGGGTTTGCCAATGCTCCCCCCAATTCCCAGAACCTCGCATGTTGTTTGGAATGCTTTGTCAACTTGCATGTACTTGCCTGTTTTTCTTAAACGTGGTGCAGAAGTTAAAAGACGGTAGCGTTTGGATATCTAAAAGTATGTGTATGTATATGCATGTATACATATGTATATATATATATACATATATACGAATATGTGTATATATATACACACACACATTGTACATACATACGTAAATACGCACAGGCAGACAGACAGACAGACATTTTGACAGACAGGCAGATCTACATGTAGATATATACATACATATATGTACCCATATATATATATACACACATGTATGTACATGAACCATTGACAATCTTATCATCACCCTCCTTCTCATCATCATTACCATCATCGTCGTCGTCATAATGATTACCACCATCATCATCACTACATCACCATTATCATCGTCATCACCATAACCATCATCCTTACCATCATCTGTTATTGCATACTGTAGTTACAAGGGCTCTGGTGCTTTCAGGAAATAGCGGGCTTGTGCAACTAAATGTTACAGATTACGTCACGAGCAAAACAAACATTTCTGCTCAGCACACTTCGCTTCCTCAGCTTTACTTTGTCTGGGTGTTCATGGCTTGGCCGAGACTAGCGTCTGTTCGTTCTGGTTCTGCTGTGCCATGGTATGGCTACCACGTGGCCTGGAGCGAAAGATTCCAGGGTGAGGCGCGAGTTGGATCTGACTTGGCTACGGCTTTGGGGAGGGTTCGTGGGCACACGCACTTGTCTGCCTGCGTGCTGTGATGTGTCTAGGAAGCTCGGTTTTTTTGACTCGCTCCCAACTCTCAGCACTCCTGACCCGTACATCCAAATCAATTGCTGGGGCCTCTTGTTCTCGCCTCCCATTCTATTTGGCAATTGGGGAACCGCCCGGTTTCAATGATCCCACATGGGGGCTCTGAGCAGCATCGCTACTCAGATGCCAGCAGTCGCACTCTGGGCGGTTCGTTCGTAAGATCGGGGCCTCTGCTTGTGGGTTCAAGGGATCCCAGCTTCGAACTCAGAAGTCTCGGGTAAGTTCAGCTGCAAACCTCAAGTTCATATTCACCCTCTGAAGACTCTGAAGCACACACCAAGCACGATTCCCAGAATGCACCTGGGGTCCTCGGGGTTCGGAAAGGTAGCTTCCGGTGGGCCGGAAGTGCTCTGCTTTCTCGCAGACCTGCCAATGTCTGCAGGTCAAAACAATGTCCCAACCTCAACCACGAATTGCCGATGTTTGGATGTAAGACTTGTAGCGGTAGGGATTTAGGGCAAAGGAGGGCGCATTGTAGCGTTGAGGTACGCATGTTTCGTGCAAGGTTTTAGGAGGCTTTTGGATTGATCGCTGCGATGGGGACCGAGATTTCCTTGTCTTGGGCTGGACACTCACAAGCTGAGCTGACATGAGCCGACGACATAAGTACTGCTTTGGAACGCTCTGCAAGTCACCAGATGGCTTCTTGCATGTCTCGATATGTGCAGATCGGCATGCAAACGCTGCGTATAGTTTCATCACATCCGTAGCGGAACCTCCGTCGCAGTGAAAAGCATGGGAAGTACTCTGCCAAACTGATTATGGAGATGTCGATATTCGATGTATTGTCGAGCAGGGTAAGGCCGTCAACCGAAGCCAGATTGAGCCACTCGAGAAACCCAAACCCAACGTGATGTCAAACCCTCGGGCCAGGCGGGCAGAAAAGCAAGCAAAAGCTTGACGAGATGAGCGATCGCTGAGGCTCAAAGTGCCATGCCCGAAAGCCCCACGCCAAAACATTGCGTCGATCTCTGAAAACTCCACTCCGGAAGCAGCTGAGGGCCCAGCTCGGCCTCCTGAGAAGATTCCAGGCTTTCGTGACAGTGTGGAGAAGTGGTGGAAGTGACATACATGAGGCCGACAGAGAAAGAAAGCTGCCTCTAGAATGGCTTACATATACTTACAAGGAACTAAAAGCAGCCACAGAGAGGAGCGCTCAAGAGGCCATCATGACAGGCTCATATTAACTCTTCGAAGCTACGAGGAACCAATCTGTAAGATCACGGGGGTGATGCCCATGACCCACATTTTGCCACTGTGGTCGAGGGAGGGGGGTTGGGTGTCGCATAGCACTTCAGGTTTGCAGGGCTGGGCTAAAGGGCTTTCTTTGTGGTGCTTTCCTATGGTTGGACTGGAACAACATGCCCTAGCCGGTGGATCATGCAAATAGAGCTGTCGGCCTACATGATGGTGTGGTCTTTGGACTCTGTTGGAAAAGGTCAACATGACAGAGGACGTGCTCGCAAGTTTGTGACCGTCCCGTACAAGTAGCACTGTCGCAAGAGCAAGCCAGATGATTGCTGGATGCAATCCCACGCGGCCCTAACGAAGGCAAGCCTTGCCTTCTCATCTCCAGCCGACGGAGAGCCTGAGGTGCTTCCAGAGGTGGTTTCGAGCAGCTCTTGCCCTGCTAAAGTTGTTGGCTCTTAGGCTTGGGCTTCGTGGATTCGGAGGGTCGCTCTGGAGGGGCGAGACCAGCCCTGAAGCAGCTGCAGAAACTCGCTGCAGTACTGCGTCGATCCGGAAACTTCAGCCCCAAGCCTGCGGCCAATCCTAGAACACTGCTTGTAAGCCCTGATCCTGAACCCTTGACCCCTAAACACTCGGAACAGCTTTTCAGCGTTTCTGCTTTCTCAGCCGCCGGCCGAGGGAATCTCTGCTTTGGTGCTGGTGACCCCTGCGGCCGGATCTCCGGTTTTGCGAACTCTGGGTTTTGAAGTAAGGGGCTTATATGCAAAGACTCAGCATAGGGTGCTAGGCTAGAATATGGGATATAGAAGTCTTGTAAAGGGTTCAGTGTTGTAGTCTTGTGATTGTGCCTTTCCCACAAGCCCTCCGGCCTTCCAGAGTTTGGGATAGGGTTGCTATGGTTTGGGTGGCATCGCTCGCCGGTGGACAAGGTAGCCAGCTGTTGTCGGTTTCACGTTTATCCTAAACTGCTCCCTCAATAGGCTGTCATCGCCGCATCGCCACTTCCAAATTCCGCTCATCACAGCCTATGGCCGTGCTTGAAAGCCTGCGGTGCTCACAGTTGGGTTTGAAGCTCGACTCTACAAAAAGCAGGGCCATCACAGCCGATGGCCGTGCTTGAAAACCTGCGGCGCTCAAATTTTGGGTGAAGCCCGACTCTACAAAACGCAGGGCACTCTCCTTGGCTCTGTTTTGGAACCCTTGCAAATCAGACTCCAACTCTCATAGACTGTGCACCTGAGATCCTCGATGAGCCGATCAAACCTGAAGCCTAAGAAACCTCGCCGCAATCGAAGGGACCCTTCTGACCTCGTCTCCTGGGCACGTGTCTTGGCCAGGCGTTGGAGCTGAGTGAGTCGGTTGTTGTAGCAGCCTCAGGGCATTTCGGACTTTAGATCCTCCACTTTTGGCTTTGATTGTAAAAAGCATAGAAACAACGCCCGACCCTGGACAAACACACCCAGCCTGTCACGCGCACACCCAAAGCTAAACCAAGCTCAACACGTCGCTGCAAGCCTCAAACGCACGGAAAATGTGCGAGCACTCCACAGCACGGCATGCTCTTGGGCCCTGGGCCCAAATAGGACGTGAAGATCGAGCCCTCGGGAGGAGAGTAGCGGTAGCCGTCCTGCTGAGTTCCCAGCGGCTTCGTGGGGATAGGAGCTGTTTTTAGCATGCTCAGGTTCAGAAGCCAGCAGCTCCAGACTGCCTTATGACGAGGCCTTGGAAGGGAGTTGAGGCCAACGCTACGGGGGACCCAGGAGAGGTGTAAAGCTCTGAGAGTTACCGAACAGGCTAGCATGGGTAGTTGAGAAGTAGGCTTAAAGTCCCCGTGCAAAGCTGGCATCCTTGTAGAGCAAGTCGAAGCCGCCGACCTGCAGCTCATTTCCGCTGAGGTACTTCTCGATGTCTAGCAACCTCGATGCGTTCGACGAGGATTTGGGGGTATGGGGGGGAAGGGATTTTCCTTTTGCTCATGTTTCTGAACCGCCGGTGCACTGGATTCCTGCAGTAATTTCACTGCTGCTGTAAGTAAGGCCCTCTAGACCAAGCCGGCGCACAAGCAGCTCCCAAGCTGAAACTCCTTCGAGTCGCGTGAGCAGGTCATCGAGGAGTCCATATTTCATTTCCTTGCGTCACCGACAGAGGCCACGCACCAATCAACAGGCACACACACACAAAGAAAAACCCGAAAGTCTCCATGTACACGACCAGACCCACATACACATGTCACACCGCTTGCCGTCCGGCAACGTAATCTGCGGTGGTGTTAGCTGTCAACGACGGCGAGGCATTGACCTCGCAGCTGAAAGGCTGTGCTGTCGAGGCTTCGAAGTGGCGCCCAAGCACTGATACAGGGGCCTTGCTGGAACAGGGCTTTGGGGTATGCTGCTAGACTACAGTCATAATAAGGGACTGAAGGAGAGGGTGTGAGGGACCTCTACATTATTGGGTTGCTGTCGCCCAAACCCAAATTTGTTCATCAAGCCCCTATATTACATGCTGCATTTGCTCCTTCAGACGCCATGCTCTGATTTGCAGGAACACTATTTCCATTCAAGCGACAGCTGCACCCTGACACCGAAGGCAATGAAACTCTATATAAGCTCCTATAAAGCGAAGCTCTGAAGACCCAGGAGGTCAAACCGGCGGACCTCCAAGAGCCATGGCTTGTACTCGGAGTCAATCAAGATGTCGTAACCATACCTGTGGAAGCTTTACTTTCTACCGGTGTAGTTCATTATAAAGAGCTGCACGGCTGTACGCAGTAATGTCGCACACATATCACGGTGGAAACTGCTTGAACATGCGAGAAGACATGAAACTATCTTGGACATGGTATATCTGCCTGTCAGCAGAGAAGTGTTTCCTCCTGCTTCAGTTACGGCCGACATAGTGCGGTTCCTATGCCATCTGTGCCGGAATTTCACATGATAATTTTCGAGCAGGTGCCCAGAGACCCCATCACTCAAAGTCACAACTCTTACCCCAAGGGTCCATGTACACAAATAGTGTATACTTAGGCCTTAAAAGTAGTTCCTATATAGGTACTTTGGGGCCAAAGCATGTACTATTTGGCCACATGGGCCCTTAGGGTTAGATGAAACTTTGTCCTCGGCCCACACAGGCTGGCTCGGAACAGCAGCGTCCTTTAAAGGGGTCTTTAAGGGCTGCTGATAGGGTCCTTAATAATTAGAATAGGGTATTGGGGCCCATTATACTATCATGATAATAAGGAGCCCCCGAAATAGTATAGGTAATTACTAAGGCCCCTCTAGTAAGCACTGTGGTGTCAAGCTGCATCTCGAAGCAGTGCTTGTCGTTGATCATGACCTCCAGGATGTGGGCGTTTGGTCTCTCCAAGCGGAGGTGTCACTCAAGCTTCCTACCTACCCGTTGCAATTCTCTGTGCGAACTCTGTGCCGTTGCAGGCCCCTGCATGCAGTTGGCACCGCCTTTGGGTTTGGAACTCTGAGCCAGTCCTTGCACAAACGCTAGCTCCATCTCGCTTGGACTCTGCAGCCATGTCTTTACCATGCTGTTCCCATCGTTTTTGCATTCGTATGCTTCTTGCCGTTTCGCTACGGCTACTACTGTGTGACTGCAATGGCTGTTGCGATGATGAAATTGATTAAACTCCTGCTTGTCCACTTGCTTGCTGACCAGGCCTTCTGCACGGAGAGCAGAGAGTGGATGACAATGCCCTCGATGTCATGGAAGAGCTGATTCACGACATCCACCCCTGCCTTAACCGTGAAGCACGTAGTCTCACCCACAATGTGCAGTAAACTAACATAGGGGCCTCAATAATCAGAGAAGAGTTTAAGGTTAACTATACTATTGTAGTCATACTAAGGAACCTCCAACACCCTGTTGCACTTATTAAGGCCCCTAGCTTAGGAGGGTAGCTCTAGCTCTGAGCACGGTGCTGTCGTCAGCAGGTAGGACTTCAGGTTATTCACGTCCCATTTGGCTCCGGTCCTCTTGTAGGCAGCCTTGCCGCTGTGCTTCTGAACCTGCGAGGGCGCCGTGGCTTCGCTTCCGCTTGGGCTGCTCCTTCGCTGGGATCCCGGCCGCTACGTTCGTCAGGTGCGACCCCAAGTCGTTGAGGTTGCTCTTGTCCGAAGAGTAGCGGGACATAGAAAACCGGCAGAACCCTCCGCGATGCATATAAACCTAAGCGGTGGCGTAAGGGCAGAGCAGGAATAACGAGCCGTTGCACACTGGCATAGGCTGAGTGGAGCTGAGGACGGAGCCGTCAAAGGATGGTAACTCGTGACGCAGACATACAGCCGCATATCCTGTGTCAAACCAAACTCAACTGTCACTGGGCTACACGGATGGCAAAGTAAAGTAGCCGTAAATGCAGTCAGGCTGCGAACTTCTTACCACCGATGAGCAGAGGTGCTTCCACGTACTTCCTCGATCGAAAAGTGGCGAGCAAGCTCAGCGATGCTTCCCAAATGATGTAGTAACAACAGTGTAATGAGATTTGCGCTATTGTGGATGGATGGTTTGTGGTCACATCTTTATCGAAAATGCAGCTCGGTCACTGCGCGACGTAGGTTTCCTTGGTGCTTTGCTGGAGCAGCAGGCGAGACGCGGGAGTTGCGGGTTGGGGGCCTTTCTCAATACGACGCGGGACAGCAACACTGAACCGTTCAGGAAATTGCCTGTCACCAAAAGCTGTTGCAAAGCTCGTGAACGGGTTGAGCCTCAACCCGGTTCTTGCTTTCCCAGCTCCTCATAATTACTCCACTGGTCTGGTGGAGGAATCGTCCAGAGAGTACGGTGTGCTGAACCTATTTCTAGACGGGGTGTCTGAGTGCTACATGTAGGAGCGGCTCCAGACGAAACGCATCATCTGGGACCAGAAGTAAGAATTGGTCGCTATGTTCCAACGAAAACCCATAAACTTCCGACTCCGACCTCCACCGGCTTCATGCAGCCCTGCAGCCACACCAGCGGCTTCATCGTCCTGCGTGGATAAACTTCGGCACAGCACTTTTAGAGAACTGCTGCATAGAGAACGGCAGATCAACTGCCTTCCTGCCACTTCCTGCCTGTCTGCTTCCCGGCTACCTGGCTAATTACAGTCGTTTGGCTTGCAGGTGCGCAACTCCGGATGTCGTTCCGCAGGATCTGCGTCCCAGGTCTGGACTTCAGTTCAGTTGTATCTGGTTTCATCTTGGCCAAGAATACGACCCCTCAAGCCTTCGGCATTCCATGCAAAGTGCTGATGGTGCTACAATCCAATGCATATCAAGCTATATGCCAGGAATCCAACGCAAGGCAAGCAAGGACTATAGGGTTGCTCAAGCTACTTCGGGAATCATACACTGCCCGTTTGTTACTTTAATTCAGCCCCTAGGGCCGAGGCTTCACCGTTCCTTACTTGGACAGTCACCGACATGAGTTGATGCGGCTTCTCCTCCGAAGCCTTTGCCGGCTGCACAGGATTCCAATCCTCAAAGGCGGGAGATTAGCTCCTATTATGGCTGGCGCCGGGACGGTTTGCCGCCTTGAGCTTTACAATCGAGTGACGGGCGGCCCGGATGTCAAGCTCAATGGGTTTGCAGGAAGATAGTGCTTTTTGTCGGCTTGGGATTTGCCAAAACCCCAGCTGCCCCACAATCCCACAATCTAAACAGCACGACCCGAAGGGTGCATCGCCGAAAGCCGTGCCTGCTTGGGCTTCCACTGCTGCGTCTGGGCGAGCTTGTTCCTTGGAGCCCCAAGCGGTCTGTGCTCACAGGCTTAGCTACTGTGCCCACAGTGGTAATCGCAAAATTTGTCGGCTTCATCATTGCTAATACTGGACGTCTTCTTCTCGCGCTGGTACTTGCTGGCATGCTCTCATCCTTCCTTCTGGTGCTTGCCATTTCTCCAGCACTCGTTGTCTTTGTGTCCTTTAGTCCTGCTGCAGTCTCTGAATGTTACCCGCATTCCAATAATCATTTCACTCTTAACCTCATCAGTGTCACTCTCAAAACAGATCTTGCAAACAATTAACTTGCGCCTACTATTATTGCATATTGCCGCCCTCGGGAGCCCGCCCAGCAATAGCAACAACGCTGCCGGTGTCTCTGATGTAAACTCTGGTTTGGCTTATGGCTGTTAGTATGATTCTTCTCTCGCTCAGTTGCTCAGGGGTATCCAAAAAAGGCCCAAGCTCCACCGAAACCTAACTCCACAGCCCCGAATTCGACACCAGGAAGTGGTGATGATGGCGGTGGTCATGGTGATGGCAAGGATGATGATGATGCAATGATCCGTATGCTGATGATGTTGTTCCTGCTCCTGCTGCTGATTCTGATTGTCGCTATTAAATGCAGGGAGTGTGACGACTCTGCCAGAGACAAGCTGTGAGCAACGATTCAACCGGTGTTAAGGCAAGAAGACGATCGACCATGCCAGTGATAAGAGGCAGCAGAAGAAGCAAAGCAAGAAGAATAACAAGCAGCAGAAGCAATGGCGGGGGCCATAGCCGTGGCGGAGGTAGCTGAGAAACTGAAACTATTACGGGGCACCAGTACAGTCAGGAAACAGAGGAGTCGTGGCAGCAAGTGTAGTAGTGGCCGCTGGAAAGTGGAAGCAGTAGTAATGGTATTAGCAGTAGTCGTCGTCGTTGTCGTTATCGTCGCCGTCGTCGTGGTAGTAGCAGTGGCAGCAAGAGTGGCAGGGAGAGTAGTAGTGTTGGCAGCCGTAACTGTAAGAGGAGTCATCGTCGTCGTCCTCGCTTTTCCGTCCTAGCAGTGCCAACGCTAGCAGCTAGCACGTAGACTAGCACTGGTAATCCACAGCTACCTGTAGCGTTAGGACGTGCCAAACGTGGCACAAACACAGACCATCCTAAATACATCCACGGCTCACTAGGAAGATGCCGGATCCTTGAGAGCGGCCGATTGGCTTCATGATCCAAGTGGAACCCGTCCTCAGTGAGAGGGTCCGTCCGGCCTTTATCGAAGTATAAGCTAAAGTTGGCGGCTTGGTGCACGCTTCAGGCTTGAGAGTCTTTGCTGTCTGGAGCTCTGAGGTTTTGAAGATCCCTGACTGGTCGTTACCTGGAGAGGGGGCAGCGGGACAGAGCGAAAGAAAGGGCTCGTAACACGTCCAGCTTCCCTGAAACCGAAAGACTGATTTTCGGGGCCCGCTTCAGGTGGATTCCGAGAGGCGTGGAAGTTCAGGAGGTTCAGAAGGGCCAGTACTGCTCTTGCTGTTTCTTGTGGCTTGATTAGGCTTGGCTACAGTGGGCCAGAAGAAGTGAACCCGTTTGCTTCCAGGTTCCACTTCTTGAACTCTTCCACGAACATGCTGTACTCCTGCACAGCGGTGGGTCCCGCGCTGGAAGCAGCAAGACTGGAGTGCATGACTCAAAGTCCTTGCACCCGAAAGAGTAGAGGGTTCCTAGACACTCCATCTACCATCTATTAGACCCTAAATGCCCCTTATTTGGGACCATATACCCCTATTCGAAGGTACAAGGAGAGTCCTGGCTTACGGTTTTGGGGTTCATATTTAGAATCCTATAAGGTAACCCCAAAAAGGAACTACTTTGGAGCCTATGGGTAGGGCTTTCGGGCTTTCGCGGACCTGCCAGACCTGCTCCAAACTGCCCTCTTCTCTCTGCGCAAACGAACCGCAGCAACCCTCCGAGAAGTCTGCGCACATCATGCACCCACCGAACGGTGCACAGAATCCCTTCAACCCCAAACATTCAACGGCAACCTGCCTCAAAAACCCTATACAAGTACTCAGAAAGCCTGTTATAGGAACCCTAAACCCTGATATAACTACCGACAACCCTAAAACCCTGAACCCTAAACCCTCAACTACAAAGCCTAAGCCCGACAAAACTATTCGTCCTGTGGAACCACGAAGGTGATAGGGCAAATGTTATAGCGCGCCGCTTCCGCGAGTCGCCCCTCCTGCTTGTTTCTTTGGGTTTAGGGTGTAGGCCTTATAGGCTTTACGGCAAAGTTTAGGGATTGTAGGGTTTTCGGTGCTGAAGTGCTTGTTATTGCGTCTCTCGGCTTTTTGTTGCTCTTCTTTGGGTGCTGGTTCTTGCTGCTTTGGGATTCCGTCTTGCTGTTTCGAGTGTTGTTCGTGCTTCGTTGGATCTTCTACTGGCCGGTGCTGTTCATGCTTCTGCATTTTCGTTGCTTGCTCCCTGGCCTGTTGTATCTGGGTTCTGTAGGAGCTTTGTTGTGCTTCTTTGACGAGTTCCATCTTTCTTCTTGGGGTGTTTCTGCTAGCATCCGTTACTACAGTACTGGTGACATTTCTTTGCTTCTTCTTCCTTCTCCGCGCTCCACTTATTTGCTTCATTTATGTTAAGGGTTTAGGATAGAAAGCATAGGAGAAAGGCTCGGGATTCCATATGGTATTCAAGCTTTCACCGCCGTTGTGCCGAACAGTACGACCACCAATGTCAAGACTATGTTGCCGCGTGTTACTGCTCCTCTGTGTAAGGTTTGTGCAGCGTGTTGCTGGCCCGTGACTACCAGTCTTATCCTGAATAATGCGAACGCCTTTATCTACGATTTGTATCCGTCCATCCACGTGACAATCAAGAAAGCAAACTGGGACAGGAAATCGAGAATACCCTGACCTAGGGTTGCCAATTTCACAGTTGGCTCTTCTCGAGCTTTGTTTGATTGCTTATGCCGCTACTTTAAGAAGAAACCACGAGCTTCATTATCAAGAAAACGACTTTACCCTCACCCACAAGAATTTCCTCAAGCACCACTGCCACTGTAAGACTATCATCCTGATGCCACTAGATATGCCGAATCTTCCTGACCCGGTTGCTGCCAGTGCCATTATATCATGCCTTGCTGTTGTGGGTTGTATGGCGGCCGTCATGTTCACAGCCACAGGAACAATCTAGCCAGACAAGGGCGGCCAGAGAAAGCTAGGTAAAGCTAGAGAAAGCTAGCAAAAGCTAGTAAAAACTAAACAATCACTTTGCTCATGTGCCGAAGATTTGTGTCTTTGAAAGAATGAACAGGTAGGTCCGGAAACACAACAGAGAGCAAAAGTGCTGGATTTTCTGGCCTTGAAAACGGAAAGTTAAACCCTAAACCATGCGTCCCGCCATGCAAGTACTAGGCCAACCTAGATAGACAACGCTCGACGACGCTGCATACTGCTACACAGTGCTAGATAGTGCTGGGCAATATGCTGGAAAATGCTAGACAATGCTAGAGAATGCTAGATTCCGGCCAGGTCCCGGGGGACCAGAGATGCTAGAAACTGCTAGGTAATGCTAGATGATGCTAGAATATGCTAGGCAATGCTAGAAAATGCTGTCAGGGTGGGCATCTTGAGTAGAAAACCTCTTTCAAACAATCATGTCCACAGAAGCGGAACGTGCAGTTCTCAAGTTCAGCAGGTTGGCTTACGAGCGAAGGAAATATCTGGCAGTTTGGTTTCTGAATGAAGGAAATATCTAGCAACTTGGTTGCTGAATGCAGGAAATATCTAGCAGCGTGGTGCCCTGAATGCAGGAAAAATCTAGCTTCATCTGGCTCCCATGCTCGTTTGCTGGCTGTGAAGAAGACGGCTTGCACTAATACAAAAGCCGGCTAAGATTATAAAAAACTGCTACGCTTGTAATCTGGTCCGCATAAAAGTTGAGCTAGCCAGCTTTTTGCAGCTAGCTAAGCTAAGTGGTTAGTTTTCCACAGTCATCAAAGTGGTGGCTGGATAGCTAAGCAGCCTCATGCTGACTGCCTGCCTGCCTGCCTGCCTGCCAGCTTGGCTGGCTGACTGACCCTGACTGAGTGAGTGACTGAGTACTTAACTGACGGACTGACTGCGTGGACTCAATTGCACTGTCTGCTATCAGCACTGCTGCGGGTCGGTTGGTGGGCAGAGGGCTTGCAGAAAATTATTTAAACGTGGGAAGGGATCTGAAACGTTGAGAAGCGCTCTTAGACCTAGGATGGCCGACCCACAAATACAGAACACCTACTTATGCTGAGAGACACTGTTGAACATGTCATGTTGATGGCTGCTGCTTGCACATACTCCAGACTCCTTCTCACACTGCCGCTTCATCCTCTTCATGTTCCTTAGTCACCATGCGCGTTCCGCCAACAGCGGTATGTCACTACAGGAAAGCAATGGAAAGCGAAAAAGTGATGCTGTGTCAATGAACAGCCATGGCTCTTCACCAAGAGGTCCTTTCTCGTCAGTTCGTAGTGGTTCAAGAAGTGGTTCACATGCTGATGGGGGTCCTGCGGGCGTTGACCATACACCAGACACCAGCACTTTACGGACGGCAGCTGCAGCAACAAGTCTGTCGGAAAACTTCTCAATTTCAAGCACACTCTCAAGATGGAAAGACGTGCAGTCTGCCCAATCTTTAGATTGAAGGCTCAGGACACCGGTCTGAGGTTTGTCAGTGAGTTTTGAGGCATGGAGCTGTTCCACACTTATGCAGGGGCCTTTCTAGGAAGAATGGGTTTGGGGGCATATTCTACTTTATACCTATTTTATTACGGAGCCCCAAGTAAGGCCCATCCATTATGGTCCGTCCTAGTATTGCTTTAACTGACTGGGAAGCCTAATTATGCTCCAAGAACCCTCATGTGAGCTTCCAACCGACACAGATTAGCCCGAACCCTCATGTGAGCTTCAAGCCGACACAGATTAGCCCCAAGCCCAAACCTTCCCCCAAACCGCAAACTCTGCACCCTGCACGCCAAACCACAAAGCCTATAGAAGTAGATGAACACAACGCGAAAGAACAAGGGACCGGGGTCCAGGTGCATCTTGTCGAAAGCAGAATGGATCCAATCCTTGTCAGTCCAAAAGATATGCCAGTCCTCAGCTGGAACTGGGGAAAGGGCCATATCGACTAATTAATTCCTGAAAGATATGTTAGACTACAGCCATGTTAGGGCGGACTATTACACAGGATGTATGCCGTTATGGCGCTGACAAAACAACGCTACTACCAGGTATCGTTGGCAGATTTATTGGGAGGAACGATGACTCGACAACCGCCCTGTGGGGAGGGCGCTGTAATAATTTTGGAGGACAAGAAAAGCATCCGCCAAAGCTGCTGCTGAAGCCTCGGGCCCGAAATTACGCGCTGGTTTCCAGATCCTTTCCTGACTTAGAGGACAGCTGCAATTTCAGGAAGAGTAGAGTTGCTGCATTCATGACAGCAAATCTTGAAGCATGAGAGACTGTCTTCTGCGATGCTTTCTGGAACTGGAGCTGCGCGGCTGGGTGTTGAGAAATCAATGTTTACACTCCTCTGGACATCTCTGGACACAGTTTTTTGGTTGTCAAAATGTCCAGTAGAAGCAATGGAAATTAATATCCAGGTTCCACAAGGGCATGTGGCGATAACCTGAACTCGCCCTTGCGAAGTCTACGGCGAACGAGGCTCCGAATCGACGTCCGTCTCCTTCCAGCCCCGCGACTTCAGCACGTCATAGATGGTGTTGTATTCGTTTTCCTGCTACCAGCGTCCCTGAATCCCTTGCTAGATTCTGCAGACTATTGCAGACTTCAGAATCAGGAAGAGATGGTGCGTAAAGGGTATACTGTTGCGCAGTCTGACAAAGTCCTCACCAAAACTACCATCTACACTCCAAACTCCACGTCGCCACAGCCTTCCCGTCGCTGACGCGGTGAAGCTTTGCACAGCGAAAGCGGATGTGAGCCGCCGGTGGCGGATCCCGCCTCTCATGGGCCCGGTGGAACTGAACTTTGGCATCCTCAGATCCCGTATCAAAAACCCTGTCACGCCACTCGGCTCCACGAGAGGGCTCCCCGGTTTTTATGTACTTCCTTTTTTTGCAGGCCGGCAAACAAACCTTTTGCCAGTCGGATCAGTGACTACTCTGGGAGCGCGTCTGTCGGCCAGTCGCACCGCACCTTCACAACACATGATGTTGTGTCCCGGGCCTGATCAACTTCCGGAAATACTCCGACATCACCTCAGTGCGAACAGCCGCTGCAGGCATTTCAATTCGTCTCGGTTTATGACGCCGCTGCTCACGAGACAACGCAAGCCTTCCTTTGCCAACTCCGGCTGTAATATGTCAGACTGTGCATCTCCATGACTGCTGACATTCATAAATCATCCGCTTCTTTACTTTCGCATTTTAGGTGCATCGAGGGCACCTCTAGCACAAATGCCCGGGAGGTCGTGCAGACCCCGATAAGCCTTCAATTGAAGCCCAATTCCTACACTGCAAGGCTGAGCATCCTGCAAAAACAATAGATTGCAAAGTTAAAACAATACGATGCGCTTCTGTTCGCGTATATGATGTCGCATACTATGCTATATGATATATTGACTTATGGACCTCCATGGTCAGATCTGCGCCTAGCAACAGAGGCCGAGACTTGGCGATGCCATCTTCCGGCACTTCCTGGCCGCTTGAGGTCTTAGGGCTCCGGGGTTTCAGGATGTCGGGTGTAGGTTTGATGGACGTAGGGTTTCGCGTAATCTATCCGAGATGCCATGGGCTCTTGTCTTTCTCTACTTGTCATGTACTTCTTAGGGGAACGGCCAGTATGCCCTGGCGATCATATCACTCCCCCTTCGTCTTTACGATGTTTGCCTGACCTGGCTTCAACATGGTGGTGCTTATCATTCCTGTAGGCGGCTGCGGACGGCAGTGCTCTTAAACAACCCAAAACCTACCCGTCACATACATCTCAGAACCAGGGGTTTCAGCTCGTGATCAGCCCTACAACCGAATCTGCACCGCAATCACTCACCAAAACCCTCAAAGACCTCTCCAGCCTCAACCCCTACAGAAAACCTTGAACCCAAGACCCGAACTCTGCTCTCAGCACCCTGAACCCTCAGCTCTACACGGCATGCTCACAGCCCCAACCCCGAATCCCGAATCCATCGTACCATGTGTCTAAACAAAGAACGTCCCGAGGAATGAAACTTCAGCCCAGCCTCCCCTTCCAGTATATTGAACACGACAAAATAGGATTGCAAGAATTTATGTTGTGAACAAGAGCATAATCCCTCACTCCCTGGTGTTCGCGAGGCCCCAGCTCTTAAGCTCGTGCGAGTCACATGGCCAGTTAGCCCGTGCATACGCGAATCATGAGCGTTCAAGCCTCGCTGTGTTAGTTTGGGCTTGTGCACTGCTCGTGGCTCTGCATGCAGCACGAAACCACTCAGGCTAAGTCTGTTTGGTCCTAAGCAGAAGATGGCATAAGGGTCTGCCAGGTTCATGGGCAGCACAGGGTAGTGTCGAGACTTTTACACTGCAACAAAGACCGTCTGTTTCCGGAGGAGGACGATTTCGTTTACTTCTGAGGTGTGAAGCTTCGTGTGGGGGTGTCGGTCAGGAAAGATGTGAACTGGCACCAAGCCTACAGCTGATGAGACGATGTCGGCGCCAAGCAAATGCAGTAGAGCCCTTGCCACAAGGCCTTCTATATGAAAGACTGTCGTTACATGTGTTGTATGCAAGGGCGATCTTGTTTGTACTCTTCATCAACTGCGGGTCTGTCTGTCTGCCGATGATCGCTCTCCCCCTGTCTGCCACGATCTCATCTTCGGTTTGTAGCTCGCCTGTTCCTCTGTCTTGGTGGGCGTACGACAGTCTTGCTCGTACATACTATGTACCTGCTCAACCTGCATATCCATCTGACTGTCCTCTGCTGATCCTTTCTGCCGGCAGGCGCTCATTATGCCTATCCGCTAGTCTGGCCGCCTAAGTACACGAATGCTGCACACATAACAGGCAAGGGAGGGACACAAAGAGGGCGCTAGGCTGTCAGGCAGCAGTCAGGCAGGCTCGCTCACTGATTCACTGACTCACTCACTCAACAAGGTCACATCTGCTTGCACACATGCTGGCCTACATTGATTCATCCGTCCTTCCTCCTCCCTTGCTGTCCCGTTCCCTCTCAAACGGACGTTTGCTTATGTGATCGCAAAAAAACATTCACATTTTTGAGAAAAAACGTTGCTTGGATCTAGTACTGCAGCGCTAGCACATCAAACATCGACATACAACAACAGATTATCGCACAACAGATGTGTGATGCTTATTGGGAAGACCTGGGCAGACAAAGCAGCCAATCTGCAGTCGAAAGCAGGCTCAACAGCCACCGTCTTTTTACTGACCCGCACGATGCGTAAGGCACCTGGCCCCCTCCCATGTTGATGCCTTGAGGCCTGCATCGCTGGTTCGGATGCCCACCGAATCACGTGATGTCAGTGATCTATGTCGTCCTTCGTTTATCCCAGGTGGCTTTGCCGCCACAGTGAAACGTTGCATCCCCTCATCGAATTGGCAACGAGGTCGGAACCGGGGCGCATGCACCACCGAAGCTTGGATGGACAGATCTGTCACTGCAGCAGCATGCCATTACCTATACGCTCCATAGTAGTTTCTTTTTGGGGTTCATCTTTGGAACCCTATGAGGTAATCCCAAACAGGAGCTACCATGGAGTCGCATCTGGGTGCCCTCGGCCAACACTTAGGAGAAAGATGGGCGGGGCTCAGCGTCCGCGTGTTCAGCTTCGTTCTTGACGCGGGTTTTCTTGAAACGACTTGTCTTCCTCCCTGAAGGTACCCTCAAATTAAATTAAGTGGACGTGACAGGAGGTTCTACGCTGAGAGCATGCATCTGTTTCAAGTTTCGACTTTTCGTGTTTAGAGTTCAGAATATTGGGGACTGATAGAACCTGAACCGTACCTCGAAGCCCTACATCGCTACGCTGCTTTGTGCAGGCTGACAAGTCGAATCACCCATGGTGCAAATGCATCCACTCCTTTACCTTACAGTACCTTTGCTTAGTAGGGAATGGAGGAATGGGGTACAATGAGAACTACTATTACTACCATTCTTCCATTCCCTACTAACCAAAGGTAAGTTATTAGTGTTCTACAATCTCGTGTTTGCTCGCACTGGCCTGGTGGCCCGGGCTGTCCCGGCTCCCGACCCCTCGGCTATCGAATTATTCCAGAAGGAGCAGGATGAGCAGGAACTGGTTTAGGCTTTTTTTGTGAGGGCTTTTTTGCGTCTGCACGAGGGTGGTTTAGGGTTCAGGGTTTAGGGGGTTTAGGGCAAGGCTCAGCCTTTAAAATTCACATAGGTCAGTCACGAAGGCCAAATCTGTAGTAAACAGAAAGTACTGTAACGAGAAGACTTCTTGGTAAGCATCCTCAGACTCAAGTACCGGATCCCGGAAAGCAAGCAACAGTACCCGAATCAGTCCTGATATCCACAGTAGCCAAGACCTCGAACTTCGACACCAAATCTTGCGAAAATGTACTCTCGCACAAGTCGAGTCGCCACCGAAGAAAAGAGGATGAGTGGTCTCAACAACTCACAACGAGAAATTCAGAAAGCTGACGTGATGAAAGCAGGACTGTAGCAACAGGAGGTTTCGTTGAGTTTTTGCAGGGTACTAGCCTGGACAGCAGTCCTGGTAGCTAGAGAAGCAGCACGGGTACCATGACCATCTCCATACCATTCATGAAAAAGCTACCTTTCATGAGAAGCAGCATGTAGTCACTGCCAGAATACTCGCTGAACCATTACGAATACATACTCCTGGCGAAATACGAGCTAAAAGCGGCAGTGGTCGTAGTAGTGTAGAGGTAGTGGCACTAGGTCGCAGTGGTAGTGGTAGCAAGAGCTCTGTTCATACCGGTAGTTAAAACAACAGCTGCGCTTTCATCCAAACAGTAGTTGTCCAGTTATGATTCGTTATGGCACTTCTTCCGTTTCACGACACATGTGAAATGCAGAATAGCCGAAACAGAGACAAGGATTTCAGTGCTTTGGCTGATGCTCTTGGCCTCAGAGTTTCGCCAAAGGGATGGCTAAGGGTTATACCTATCAGGGACCGAAGTCGGCAGCCCAGAATCTGAAACTTTGCTGTTCCTTCCTCCGCACCTTCGGACGGTACCGTGCGAAGACCACACAGAAGCTAAGGTTGCCGAGTTAATCAAATTACGGCTGTTAACTCATCGAATTATGGCAGGCAAGACATGCCGTCCCCTAAGCGGTGAAACTGCCCGGGATCAAGTTCTACCGTCATCGCACTATATGGTTCGTACGGTGTCGGGTGATGGGTGAGCCTGCTAAAAATGCTTTGCTCTCGCTCTGTTTAGAATCCACTCATTTGGCACTTGCCATGGTAAAGTCCCGGAGTACCCTTCAGAAGTACATGTCGTTCATGTACTGCTCGTGCTTGCGCGCCTCCGAGACTTAGTGCCAATGCCCCAACAGCACTTTCGTCGCTGAGCCGAAAAAACCGTAAAAACCCTAGACCATAAACCCCAAAAGGCCCAACACGGCAACTCGAACATCTCCAACTCTAAGAATACCCAAAGCACTTCTCCCTTCACTCTAAGGCCAGAAACTCTGAGTGCCGCGTATAAGACCCTACGCCCTACGCCTTGAAGGCCTAAAACACTTGTCTGTCCGGAATCCGAAGCCTAAGCCCGGAACACAGCGACTGGAGACCGTATAAAGCAATCGAGCAATAGGCTCCACACCATGAAACGAAAGCTCAAAGCCCCAGAGCTTGAAAGCAAATAACAGTATCAAGAAGGCAGTAGCAGTAGAACTAGTAATGACAAGAGACAGGCTACGACTGTGACTACGACCACGGGCACGACCGATTACGACGACGAGGACTCCTGCTCCTACTCCACCTCCTCCTACTACTACTGCTACTGCTACTGCTACGGCTACGGCTACTGCGACTGCTACTACCACTACTACTACTGCTGCTACTACTGCTGCTACTACTACTACTACTACTACTATTATTACTACTACTACTACTACTACTACTACTACTACTACTACTACTACTACTACTACTACTACTACTACTATTGCTGCTACTACGACGACGACGACTACTACTACTACTGCTACCTCTACTGCAACTGCTTCTTCTCCTCCTACTCCTACTGCCGCCCCTATCACTGCTGCCACTGCTACCACCACCACTACTCCTACTACTACTACTACTACCACTACCACTACCACTACCACTACTACTACTACTACTACTACTACTACTACTACTACTACTACTACTACTACTACGACTACGACTACGACTACGACTACGACTACGACGACGACGACGACGACTACGACTACTTCTACGACTACTACTACGACGACTACTACTACTAGGACTCGCCGGCACAGCTACAACTAGCCTTGCTAAACCAATGGCAACCACAAAGGATAGTTCAGAAGGTGGCCTGCTCCTGGATCATCTGTTGTCTAACCTGCACGGAGGTAATATAGGGGCCTTAATAATTAGAATAGGGTTTTGGGGCCCATTATACTATAAATAGAATAAGGAAACCCCCAAAATAGCATGGGTAATTATTTAGGCCCCTGTCGTAAAATGGATGTCAACGGATTTGCTTGTGCCAGGGAAGTAGGGTATCGACCAAACCTCCGATCGCATGGAAGACTTACGGCTTAAGCCCTTCGTTTTTCCTCCGTGTTCGGGAAATTTCTTCGGAAGAGTCCACCAAATTCAGGCGTGAAGTTGTACGCGTTTCCGTGACATCCGGAGTCATGATCGACAACAGGTGTGGCACTGACCCGATTGCAAGGACAGCGCGGGGCCATTCACTTTCACAAAAAGTAGCAGATATGTATTCATTCAGAATACTGCTTGGTCATCAAACACTACGGCGCCTTTGTCATCACGCAACGCCATAGGCTCCACAGAAACCCACATGCACTGATAGCGTTCGTTAAGGGGGACGGTGCAAGTTCACAAGCTGCAGACTACCATGCATTTTTTGTACCCCTCCCAAAAAAGCATCCCGCATTCCCTTCAACCATCATCCCCAACCCTAAACCCTAAACCCTAAACCCTAAACCCTAAACCCTAAACCCTAAACCCTAAACCTAAAAACCGCTGTCCCGAATGCCCTCGAGGCTTTGAGGTCTTCAATCCGTGAAGCACCTGCTCCAACTTCTCGATGTAGGCCAGTCTTTCTGCCACCTCCCCCGAACTGTCGACTTCTCAAGGTGAACCGTTGGGTTGAGAGGGTATACTACTACAACTCAGAATTATCTGCAAAAAGAGCCCCAAACCCTCCAAGGTTGGGAGTTGGATACTTGCTGAGGGCTGGTGCAAACTACCGTGCATCGGTTTCTTCCATCACACGGTGATCCGATGGAGGCTGCGGCGCGGTGCGGATGCAACAACAAACAGCATTGTGCACCAACACTGACCCTTCTGATGGGCTGAAGTCAGCACCCACCGAAGAGATATCTGCCATCTCCGAAAATCCTTTAGGAACACCTTGACGCGAAACAGTACCCCAGTTTTCGTCACGCTTTAACTCTGGAAGGAGCAGGCCTTGATCTGCATCTGGGGTGGGATCCTGCACAATGCTGGTGCGCTGCAGATGGAGGGCAAAGGCAGAGAGAGAGAGAGAGAGATGTACAGGTGTTTGTGGTATCTAGAATCTTTCATTGTGTTTTGGACAAACTGTCATGTCACAGCCCTCCCTTTTGAGACGCAGTGAACCGTGGAAAACGATGGACAATGCATGGAAGGAGTGCTCGTAACACAGAACGCATCCATACGCTTTTTCTGAGGTACCGGCTGCCCAGTCTTGGGATCTGTGCCGAGCACTCGGCGGAACAGCAGCACATTCGCCTGTCGCGGCAGCAGTTGCGTGGATAAGAGGATTCATGGACTACGATCTGAACATCTGATGGACGCGGGACAGGCGAGGTGTGGTGGATGCAAGGGGTCCTCGGCTTCTACTTGGTCGATGGAAAGACCCATTGCCGCTGCTATAGCAGCATGGAAGCGAACGATCCATTGTCACTATGCATTACAATGCTGTTGAGTTGCATCAATACGGAATGTCTTTACACAATTGTGTTCTCTATATCAGGCAGCAGTTGGAGATTCTCGTGTTTCCATGAAAGCGTGGGATGAGAAACGATGCATCTCACCTGCCTCTGGCGAGTGGTGGTCGTAATGCTCCCAGCCGCGCGACCTTAGCCGGAGCACATGACCGTATCTTCTAGCATACCAGAATAAGACCAAGACTAGCAACAAATCTTCTCGCGAGGAGCTCCACCCTAAACCCTAAACCCTAAAGCCAAACCCTACACTCGCACTCTCTGGGATGTCGGCATGGTGATGCCGCACTGACGCCACTCCCACTCCTGCACATGTCCCAAACGGTTCGAGTGTCTGAGGTTCAAGGAACCCAGAGTTTCGAACAAACTTTGCCGTTTGGGGCCTTTGGTTCAGGGCCCGGAGCCTCAAAGTCTGCTGATCCTCGAAGTGGTCTCACGGACTGATGCCTCCCCTGAAGATCTAATGTAATTTCCTACATTTACGTGTCTCAACAACTGGAATAGGGTTTGGGGCCCGGGGGCTTAGTATACTTGTATAGGGACGCTATTGCAACTTTTTCAGAAAATTCCCGATGTTGACAGGCCGTGCCACGCCTGTTGGCACATAGCCGGAACTACTGTTGGAAGGCTCTTCGGCAACAGATCTGGGTCTGAGGGACACGCGATCTGAGGCCTTCTGGGTTTGAGACTTGGTGTATTCTTGTGCTTCAAGTGTATTCGAGGCAGGAAACCGACAGCGACCCAGACTGAACGATTCAAGGACATTGGAGGCTCCAGGCAACTTGCCTGTTGAGGTGCTTGTCAGAGCCTCACGCAAGCCCTGCCTCGAAGTAGGAATCTAAGGAGTCTCTCCGAGCAAGAAAAGCTTAGAATCTAAAGCAAACAGCTCAAACCCCTGAAAAGAGAGGGATGGATCCAACCATGCACACCTCAACACGCAATGCCCTGTCTCCTCCATGGTGCGCCCCTGGCTGATGCCAGGAAGGCTCGGCACGAGGTGCCGGGGAACAGTGACCCGCCTCCAAGCGAGCTTCCTCTTGATAAGACATACCGGTCAATGGCGGCAGTGGTGCAAGCACCAGTGTCGTCTTTCGAGAAGTAGGTAGGAGTAGTCGCCGTCGACGTCTTAGCAGCAGCACCAGCAACAACAACAGCAGCAGCAATACCGCAGCAGCAGCTGCAGCTTTAACAGAAGTTGAAGCAGGGGTAACAGCAGCACTTGGCAGCAGTAGTCTCCTGTTTTTGCATAAGCAACCTCGGTTGAAGTCGCAGAACATGTCTAATCATACCCACTTATTGGATATGCCGGGCCTGTACTCGTAGATGTCATCGCAGTACTTGTCGGAGTAGTCTGTCCTGCTAGTGTTGCCGCATGAACTGAACAACAGCGCTCGCAAGACAAACATGCAGGTACCAATGTGAACGCCATCCGAGATGCCTACTCTCTCACAGTTGCCGTACGCACTACTGAAGGCACCAAGCAACTTTGCAACAGCAGTGCCTCAGCGACTCTACCCTGCTGGCACTGGCACTACCACAAGTACTGCGATCGACATATCTCCACAGCGAGCATGCATACACAAATGTTAGCATGCAAGCCAAAAGGTGCTTGTCATCTTCGGAATAAGAAACAAAGAAACTATACCATGGATACGCGCGAAAGCACCGACTACAACAACTCTAGGAACTGCGATGCGATGTTGTGTGAGATCGTGTTGAGAAGGATGATGGTGTTGACGGCGATGGTGATGACGATGGTGACGACGACGACGACGACGACGGTGGCGACGATGATAATGATTGCAATGACGATGGTATTTCGCCAATGACGACCATGGTCATGACAGTTGTGGCCGTAGCCATGATTTTGAACTTGAACCTAACCTGATCACATGGGTGGTGGTAAATGTCAAGGCAGCGGTTGCACAAGCAATGCTCAGCGGCAGCTTTTCAGTCGCAGTAGTAAATCGTCGTAGTAGCAGCAGTCGCCGTGGCAGTGGCAACGGCAATGCCCGTCGCAGTCGTAGCAGCGGCAGCAGCAGGAGCAGTAGCAGTGCGAGCAAGATTGAATTGCAGGGTCTGGCTACATGCTAGCACTTGCTATCAGACAGACAGGAATATGTTCATGGACTTATCCCACATGACTTGCCAATTTCCTGCAGAGTTTCAGCAAAACTCACCCTCGATGGGATCGGGAGCCCTTAAGTTTGAGAAGCGCCCTGAGACTCAGGCTCTTCGGCGTTTGCCAGGGTGGAAGCCAGAGTCACCTGTCTATCCAAGAATGCTGGCTGCCTCACTCTTCGACCCAGGCTTTTGTGGTGGGAGTCAGGAGGGCAGGGTGCATGAACAAAGCCTACTCTAGCGACTGCAACCCGACGCCGAGAACCGAATCCCTGTCGCATCCCGAAGCGCGACTCCCCAGACTGTCAAGCCCTTCCGTGATGGCCTGCGCCTGTGCCAGAGTCTGCTGAAGCAGCCTCTGTACCGCTCACTTCTATGAGGGTACACTTTCTCGTTCAGGATTTACGCATCTCAGCTTGGTCTCCAAAACTATGGCAAGTGTCAGTGTGGAACCCATGGTCCCTTAATAAAGGTGAATGCCCTTGAAAGTTCAGATGTTGTGAGCTGATCGTGGCAAGCACAACATCCAAAGGTGATCTCATCCAAGGCGTGAGAGAAATCCCACGCAGGAAACCCGTATCATCGTTTGACCCTTCACTGAAGGCAACACGACGGACAGGATATTGGAAGCAATCGTCGGACCCGAGCCTGAAGCCTGCAAACTCAGTACCGCGCGCTGCTTCCATGTTCATGTCGATGTTGGGGCAGAGACGGGTAGGCACTACTTCCTCCGATGATCCTACAGGCTGCGGCTGGCATACCGAACATGCACCTTCTGCGGTTTGAGTCAGACACCGGAACATCATCTGATGCCTGCTTGTCAAAGTACACCCAAGCCAGCTGCAGCTGGGGTTATCCACCCAGACAGATGCATAAAGAAAGCCGGCGGCTCTCTCGAACGGTCGGCACACCTGATCTCTCACACGCCGAGTGTGCTTCTTGGAAGGTCCGGCTAGCAAGATGTGGATCAGCGCAGCTGAAGGCCCGTGGCAGCCGCTCTGTGCATTGCTGCATGGCTGTTGCCTGTAGGTGTTGCCCAAAGTGCAGTGCAATACGAGGGTCTTCAGTCCAACACCTACCCACAAATTTGGTGAGATTGTGAAACGCTCGCGTTGAGTTGCAATGCGGAAGGCAAGAACTTTGTTACTCTAAGTCGAGGTGCTGCAGCCTCGCATCATCGTTACTTGGTCCAACTGCATCTATTTTCGGCAAAGTCTAATAAAGAGGCCTTAATAATTTCAATAGGGTTTTGGGGCCCATTATACTATGATTGTAATAGTAAGTCACTATAAGTTTAATAAGAACCCCCCCCAAAAAATAAAGTATAGGTAATTATTAAAGCCCCTGTACCACAGAACCCTACTATTGACTCTAGATCCCTTATAGACCCCTTTAAGGAGCCCTTTAAAGGAACCCCCCAAAATAGTATAATTAGGTACTTATGAAGGCGCCTATAGTAAGCCCCTGCGTTATACCCAGCAGTCGGCTCCCAGGCTCTCAGTCTTCCCCCTCCTGCACTTTCGGTGTTTAGAGTTTCGAGCAAACGGGATTTCGGGTTTAGGGTTTCGAGTTTAGAGCTTACGGGGTTTAGGGTTTAGGGATTTAGGGGTTTAGAGCTTAGGCCTTAGGGAAGAGGATCCCGGACCTGCGTCTTCAGAGACCGGTGCCCGCAAAACCTGTCGACCTCTCACCCTAAGAACCGAGTGCGAGCAAGGCGCCCAAGGTGCACGATTCGGGAAGGTGCTGCCAGGGCCCTTAGCGCCTGAACATCCCTAAGTCCCGTGACGGCCTGGAGAGGCAGCGGACAGCCTGCCTTACAACCCGAGCCTCGCAGCCCCCCCGCCCGTGGATAACGCTCAAATCACAACTCCGCAACTCCGCTTGACACCAAAACAACAACAGATTCGGGAGACCAGGATTCGAGACCCGAAGCCCAGAACTCGAAAGGCCCGTTCGGTCCAAACTCTCTAAAACCGAAAACCACTGAAAGGAAGATTTGCAGGACGTCAATTGTTGGGTTTTAGGAAGCATGAAAACTTAACTTTTGGTTCTAAAACGGAAGTGGTGGATCTTCGTAGGAACTATCACATCCACACTGCACTGCATACTCCAAACAGTGCTGCAGGCTGGAGTGTCTGCGGTCCGCTGAAAGGGACGGAAGATGACAACTACATACTGTACTTAACTCCCGATTGCTGTTTATCTTGCTCTGTCGGAAGACTTGCGTACGTGTGTTGCCGTATGTAAGTACGTACTTCAATATATGTAGGTATATGTGATATAGGTAGGATAGATACATAGTAGTACCAGTATGTCCATGACTAATTGTCTTTGGCAGTGCTTTTTGCCGATTCTTTTCATGAATCAAGCTGTTTGCACGACCCATGGCAGTCCTCTGAACCTTCTTCGTCTTCGGGGTCAACCAACTCCGTAGCCCAGAGCTGGGCAAGGCGATCCTTCGCAACTGGAGTCGCTGCACAGCTTTGGGTTAAAAGGTCCCACGAAAGGAGTGGAGTCCTGGACTTTCACTGACGACACTACTTAATACTACTTCTTGATGTGCCTCCGGCCCAACTGAATCCGAGCCTCGCAAATCAAAGCTGCACCCCACGCTAACCTCCTTGATAACCAACTTCCTCCGAGTTCAACCCCATTCAGCCTCCTCGATTCGCAAGACCTCCTCGTACCAGGCCATTGTAGGATTCTGCGAGCGAGTGAGTTTGACGCACTAGCTGGCGAACGCGCTGGCTTGTGAAACTCCGCTGGCGTGTCGGGTGAAAGCTATCGGCTGTAAGGCTCTCAGGGCTTTGGGTTCAAGGACCATCTCGGACAGGAGTACCCTGCTGGAAGGCTCTACACCTGACGTGGCATCCCGGTATCCTTGCTTGAGCCTCGTGTGAGGGTACCTCCATCTAAACGAACTATACACCTGACACCGTCTTTGGCGATGTCCACCCACTTTCCCATAGCCAGAATCAATACCAGCGAACTCTCAAGCAACAAGAGTTCTAGCGGGGCAGGTCTCATGTCAAGGCATGCTTCCTAGAGACTCCAATACCCCTTAATTAAGGAATATTCCTTAAATCATATTAAGGATCCTACTATAGTTTAAGGTATATTCCTTAATTAAGGGGTATTGGAGTCTCTGGGTTCCAAATCTCTCAGCCCTGACATGGTAAGCCAACCGCGAAGGTTTGCAAGTCGGCCGCATGCCCGAGATATTCAAAACGCTGATGGCGCAACTCCCGAGCGTGAATTCACGGGTTCCCAGCCGGAACTACATAGTGCGGAGAATGACGAGTTACAATACAGCAAAGGTTTCGGCTTCTGAGGATTTCTGGGGGCGGCCTGAACTCTCAATGCTAAGCACCTGAAGCTTCATTCCTCTGAGCCTAACTGCCCAACTCGCGATGGTTTCTGTTTCGCCGGAGGGGGCCTCGTCCAACTTCTTGCGAACTCGGGTACGGCAGCGCTCGGCGCCCTGTCATCTTGAGGAGCAAAAATTGGAACAGAGAGCCCTGCCGCTGCTACTTGGTTACTCATGATTTCGGCCTTCAGAGTTAGAATTGTTGGGCTCTTGGGTCTTTTGCTCTTGTCAAAATCTACATGACGGCAACAGGATACCTAGAGCCCTCCAGGGTCGCACGAAACATGCAATGCCGAGCAAAAGAATCTATTTCCAAACCTCCATAGCCCCCGGAGGGCCTCGCAGTGTGGCCAGGCGGCATTTGGGCTTTTCTTGACTTCCCAGGTTCCCACGTTTGGAGTAAACGACAGCTGGAGTTGCTAGACATAAGTACCGTCCCCGTTGAGTCTTCAGTCAATGCCGATGCAAGCCCGCACGAGACTCTCCCTATAGTCTCCATTGTAGTTCCTTTTAGGGGTTACCTTATAGGATCCCAATCATATATTTGGTTAAACCAAAAAAAAGAACTACAATGGAGACTATAGGTCGTATCCAAGACTGCTGAACTCCCGGTCCCCGGTCTTTGCAAATCCCAAGACCTAAAACCCAAAACCCAGCCCCCACAAATGCCTGAGTCTCCACGGACATGAGTGTGTGGATGAGGTTCATGTCCCGGTTGCCGTGGTGATCTCCCTCGAAAGTTGCATCTTCGGTAGGAGCCGCAGCAGAAGCAGCAGCAGCAGCAGTAGAAGGATGCGGAGGAGCAGTAGGAGTATGAGTGTCAGTAGGACGAGGAGGAGGACTTGTAGCAGTAGTGGTTGTCGTCGTCTATGTAGCCACTCCTCCTGCTCCTCCTCCTGCAGCTGCTGCTGCTAGTACTGCCATATTGCAACGACTATTACTACCACAAGCATCACTTTCCGACGACTCTAGCTTTAGTGGCGAGTATGACTCCTGACACGCGTCGTAGCGGCAACCGTCTTGAGGCTTTCATGATGATCATGACGATGGTGATGTGGTGTGGATGATGCTGGTGGTGCTAACGGTTCCAAGTACATGATGTCATGTCGGTTTCTCCATCCGCCCCTCGGGAATGCATTGCCCAATCTCCAACTCTAGCAGCGTCAGGACTCGCATCCCAGGGACATACAGTGTACAAACACGCCAAGCACCAGAATCTGTCCCGGAAGTTTCTTGATTGCAACTTTTGTCTCTACAGCCACTACGAACTTTGATCATGCTGTGCTGCTGTCGGCTGCTGTCATCGCCGGTGTGCCCCAGTGCGCTCTGGCTTGAACCACGGCTGCAGCACCGCTGAGGCTTGGACGACATGATGTCTATCCTGAAAAGGGCAGCAGCTCAGATTCTCGGGGTGGCTTCTCAGGTCAGAAGTTTGAGCGGGCAGTTTGAGGCTTATGTGCAAGATCGACGATGGATTGTAATCGGATCTGCAGCGTTTTCGACATTTCCAACTTAGTCATTCCAACTCACAGCAATCCTACTCCCAAGCCTGAATCTCCAACTCCAAACCGCTTGTCACGGGGGTACTTCCGTCTCCATGCCGGCGTAGCAGAGGAGAACTCCCAACCCCAGCTGAGGCCCCGGCGTTCCATTGACATCGAAGGCCTACGGCCGGCAAAGAGCTTGACTTGGTGAGCTTGACCTGATGTGCGGGCTGCAGCTTGTTGGGATGCGGTGGTTTAGACTCCAAGATCCGCTACTCAAAGGGTACCAGTGTTTCGCAACGGCAACGGCGAGTCCGATCCTATTGCTATTGAGTTGATGAACCGTTTTCGGAGCTGAGGCTTTAGGAACATGGTCTACTAGGAGTGCTGGGCTTGTTCTTTCGGGGCTGTGTGGCTTCACGGTTTCAGGCAGCGGGGGCTTACATCGGGCCTCAGAGTCTCGTGCACGTCTAGAGCTTCCAGATCGTTTGGGATGGGCCTTGGAACAAGGACGAAAAGGACTTCCGGAGAAGGCTGTGGTGACTATGAGCGACACGCTGCATCTGCCTAAACCTACAAGATCCCTCAACCCCAAAACCAACTCCGAAGCCGCTCTTGGCATTGCAGGACATGGCTGTTGCCTGCCGTGGTCTCATGCCCAAGGCGAGATGCCCCAGGCCTGCAAGTCGTTTCTATCATGGGCTTGACGATGCGAGCAGTGCAGCTTTAAACTTTTGCATGATGTCGCGATGGCTGCAGAACAGCCATACTAGAGCTCAATGACTTAATGTTTCCTCTCCTCCTTCTTAACATTGCTGTTGTGCCGAAGACCGGCCCTCGCTCCGAGCATGTCTTTCTCACAAGTCCACAGCTTGCGAGACCATTTCTGGGAACTGCAGAGCGATGCCTTCGTCATCGTGTAGGCGTCATGAACATGTCGTCGCTTTAGTGGAGCAACACGCACACCATATACACAGCCCCCTGTTCGATTTAGTCTTGTTTTCATTGGTGCGAGCCGTGATGTCGGCACAAAGAGCCAGAACCGAGTGCTGTGGGTGCTCAACATCAACCACGGTAGGTAAAGCCCTGCCTGTCGGCCACTGCACCTTGGGCCGAGGGGCCTCCGGAACAAGAGTGCTACCATGTTACGGCTGCACATCGGACTTCGCGCTCGATGTTGGGCTTTAGCAGCTTCAGGCTTCAAGGTCTACAGACTAAACACCATGGGGGGCTTTCTAGGCCTTTCCACAAGATGCGGTATGCAAACACGCAATATGTCTATGTGTGTATTCAGAAAGATGGACGTAGAGCTCTTGTAGGCGAAGATGATGACTTGTATGGTTAGATTTCCAGGTAGACACATAGCTGGCAAGACAGATAGCAAAGAGGCATATAGCTGGGTCGGTGAAGCATACATATATATATATAGATGCATATCATAATCACCACTTTCTTATCATTATGAAACCTACCGTGGTTTGCAAGCAAGTATGTATGTATGTATGCATGCATGCATGGATGTATGCTGTATGTATTAGTAGGTACGGATGTATCTACGGCTGCAGCTATAGATGTAGGTATGCACGTAGGTATGTTGGTAGGTAGATTTGTCGGTAGTTAGGTAGGCAGGCATGTAATTTGCATGCGTGCATGTGTACATGCATGTATGCTCATGTACTCCCTAACACATATGAAGATTAGTTGTGCGAGCATAAATGCTCGAACAAACCGCTGCGGTCGGCATGATCCGTACCGTACTGCTCACGAAAGAGTATGCTGCTCATGCTATGAGGAGTCAGATGAAAACGCCAATTCACGCGCATGCCAGGACTCGTTGCAATGCGATCCCAACAGAATCAGCTCATGCATGGTTGTAAGATGTTACAAGCCGCGCTTTGAAGAACGAAGCCTCAAACTGCGGCCCTACCGGCCGTAAACCTCAAACAGGATGCCGTTATCTCTGCCTCTGGTCTGGCTGCCGCGGCCTTGCAAAGGTGTCCCCAGCAGCGGAGTTTTGGGCTTGCGGTTCGTTTCGGGGTTCCTCAATCTACATTATGACCAGGGGCGGTTGGACGACAGAGATTCTCAGCAAATAGTGAGATGACAAAGTTCCTGTCGAGTCCGTGGGTACATCATAGAGCGGGACAGGAAACTGCATGAAGCCTCTGTCACTGCCAACTATGTAGCTCTGCTCTCCCCACATCCTTTGCCCTGAAAACGTAAGCCTCAAAAGATTCAACAGGCCAAAATCTGAGCCGAGCACTGGAGATGGCACGCGGCTGTTCGGTGAGCTGCCTTCCGAGTGTCGGAAGCAGGCGGCTAGGGCTCTGACCGTGTTGTATGATGGCTTCTACTTGCGGCTCAGCACTTGCAATGATAAGCCAGCCGATGCAACACAGCAGCAGGCCAAAATGCACGTGGCTTGAAGTGCAATCGCTTCCCACGAACGCATCAGCACGACAGGCCAAGGTTCCGGGACAACAAACAAGCGGGAAGTTTTGCAGATTTGGGCGAGCTCATGCCCTGAAATCCAAACCCAAAGTCCCGGAAACGCGCAATTTTCTGCTGTGTTTCTGAAGCCAAGATCGACACCCATAGCCGCCCCCCATCCCTCGTACTGCTGACGCAAAGCACCTCCTTTGGGCGACTGGGGAGCACTTCTCGGACTGCCCCCATCAGAGGCACTGTCGCCGTCCTTGGCTGCAGCCCGAGCCTGAGGGCAGCTGCTATTCGGATCCTTATTTCTACTAATATAGGGATTATAGTGCACCACCATTACTACCTAATAAAAGGTTACCTGCTCTAATACTAGGAATATGAACTACTGGTTGAAAAGATGACCTACATTACCTATATAAGTGGGCTCCAGCTGTGGCAAAGCCCGCTTTTACGATGCCAGCTCATTAACATGAACTGTGTCAGCAAGTACCAGTCACATGAACACAGCATGATCACAGCCATCCTGGTGATACTAAGGGTTGAGAGCGAGCGATGGGAAAACCGCATGAGCACAGTAACACTATGGCCTGAAGAAATAACAGTACACCGTAATGACTATTGCATCAAACAAGATGGCAGAATGAATCTATGCACTGCCACGTTGATTGAATCACATGTAAATCTGGTTACCATTTTAGCGGGCAAGCCAGCATTTCCGATGCTCTTCCTGGCTACCCATGAACTCCCCAACGGGCTGCTTCTGCCGGGCTTGGCAGTCCAGCTAGGGGTAACAACAATTTTGTTCAGACCGACTTCAGAATCTGGAGAGCCCATCATAACAACCTGCGAAATCACACCAACCGGTAGGAACAAAACATCAGGTCGTCATGAGAATCACGATCGATTGCTGCAACACCGATAGGATCAAAAACCGGGAACTGCAAAAGACCTTGCGGCAATTGCCGTGTTCTCCCAAGCTTATACCGGCTTCGTCCCTGCCTTCTTCTGCTCTCTCTCCTTCTCCTTCTTCCTCTGCATGCGTTCTCTTCGGGCAGCCCTCTTCTCTTCCTCCTTTCGTTTGGCCTCCTTGCCAGGAATAGGAACGCTAATGTCAAAGCCCGAAAGCTCTGGACGTCCCGGTTCCGAGGTGCTTCTTGCCTTCAAAACAAATTACCATCTCTGAACCATCAGAAGCATCGCAATTGTTGCATGACTATCAAGCTGCCCAGGCTTCTGTATGTGGCTCCTCCTGCGCAATGAGCTCTTTAACTTCTGCGCCAGCCTGGTGAATGGAGTCAGCTGGCACGACTAAGGAACACCGACCAAAACTTGATGCCGCATAGATCATGCACGACGTGTGGAAAAGGCAAAAATACAGGGAGCAAGCTGACGCGACATCCGTGAGAGGACCTTCTCATCGATTCTCTCGAAGTTCACCTCGCCGTCTTCCTGCGAATGCTCTATTTTCAAGCTGGCATCTCTCGTGCTTGAAGCCTCCAGGCTTGAAGGAGCCTTGATTCAGGACCTCACTTTGAGCTTCCGCACCCTCTGGCACAAAGGTTCGGCTGCAGTTTCCCCCATTGACATCTTTTTGCACACTTTGCCATCCCGAAACTGAAAGGAGTCCCGTCAACAATTGGCAAAACTGAGAGGTTCGGCTCAGGACTGAAGTTTCAACGCAAGTTCCGTCCTCCAGGTACTCAAACAGACGATTCCTAGGCAGTGGTGCAGCACATGAAGAGAAGCTCGCAGAGTTAGACGCAGCCTTACCAGTAACAAGCAGCACAATCATGGGAGCTGTTCTGCTGGTCGTCGTGGCGATACCGGCAGCTGAAGGAGGAGGAGGAGGAGGAGGAGGAGGAGGAGGAGGTGCGCTAACATCAGAAATCTTACGCTGCGATTCATGTACTACTGGCGGTAGTGGTGGTGGTAGTGGCAGTGGCAGTTGCTGCTGCTACTACCACTGCTCCTGCTCCTGCCCCTGCTCCTGCTCCCGCTCCCGCTCCCGCTGCTACTGCTACTGCTACTGCTACTGCTACTGCTACTGCTACTGCTACTGCTACTGCTACTGCTACTGCTACTGCTACTACCACTGCTACTGCTACTGCTACCGCTACCGCTACTGCTACTGCTACTGCTACTGCTACTGCTACTGCTACTCCTCCTCCTCCTCCTCCTACTACTACTACTACTGCTGCTGCTGCTGCTACTACTACTACACCAACTACTACTACTACTACTACTACTACTACTACTACTACTACTACTACTACTATTACTACTACTACTACTACTACTACTGCTACTACTACCACAACCACTGCTACTACTACCCGCAGCACTACTACCAGCAGGCAGCAGCAGCAGCAGCAGCAGCGGCAGCAGCAGGTGGTGGTGCAGGTGTAGTAGGGGCAGCAGCTTTGGTCGCCGTCGTACTGTCAGCAACGGGTGTGTGAGGTGGAGACAACAACTGGCGGAGGTGCCTACTGTACTTCTGGCATCATCAAAGAATATGCAAAACATCGTCATACAAAGTTTACGGACAAACAATACTAACACCGGCAGTCCTGAGAACAGTTGCAATTATCACAACCTGCTGTGCCTTATGTATCTTGCAACTTTTGTGTAAGCATCGAAGGCACGAACTAGAACATTGACCTGCTCTGATGAAGTCTTGAATCCCTGCACTCAACCCCCAACCTTGCATGACGCAACGATTTCTAATGGTTGAAACTTCATCCCAAAGCCTTCTTGAGCAGCGCTGTGGCCGAGGTGCTCGTTGCCCGTAGTTTGGCACTCGTAGCAGACCTCCAAGAACCTTTGGCTGACAAATGCGCCCACAAAGGTGGCAATGATGGCACGAGGTTCCAAATGCCAGGATCAGGGTGGCTTCGCGTTTGGGCCACGGGGATCGGAGTGTAAGCGACATAGCTACATTGCACCCGGAATCTCGCTTCCGGATTCAGCTACCTGTGCAACTCCTTCAACACAATCGGGAACCCTAAGGACACCGGCAAATCCGCACTTAGTATGCATTGCGACAACTGCCTTTAAGTCAATGCCCGAGCCCGGAAGCCTGAAGATTTTCAACCTGCAGTCATCGGTGCTGAGCCTGACGCCTGGGATCTACAGCCAAAAACCAGACAACGAACACTTTTTTTATTCATGATGGCCGTAGCGGTGACAACGTTGCCGACGGGGAGGCTTAAGCTGGAGTGGAGGATAGCGGTGAACAATTCAATAAATGGATACGATTGTGGTAAAAGGAGTGACCATGAGGTTGGTGAATGTTGGTGACGACTGTTAGCCTGTGTTAAGGACGCCATGTTGGTGATGCCAGTAGCCATGGCCACCACAAACCTTGTTCATGATGGGCCATCATGGGGGTGAGCATTGTGATGGCCATGGAAAACCGCAGAGTTGAAGACTGTCTCGCTACAGGGCTGTGTGCTTCCTCATGAAGCAGATGAAGCTCTGAAAGTGTTGTCTCAGTGGCCGCTTCTTGTCCAGCGTAGCTCCGCCGTCGCGCATCTGAGCGGCGGTGACACTGTTGGCTACTCCGGGGCCCCTTTACGCTTCTTTCAATCTAGATTCATCGTCAGACTCGACTATCTTCACAAGGTTTTTGTATGCGCGTAGGACTGGAGGAGTAGTTAGCAGTCAAATAATGGTGGTGGTGGTGGTGGTGGTGGTGGTGGTGGTGGTGGTGGTGGTGGTGGTGGTGGTGGGGTACGTGTAGTGGTAGTGGTAGTGGTCAGCCAGTACACTCCGTGAAGCCATGCTAGTTGGTTGCAAGCTGCGAGTGGCTTAGGCCTGGATCCTATTCAGGCATGCAGTTCGAGCGTGCCGAAACCCGACGTCCTTCCACCAAGCAACTTGCGCCATCTGGACCCTCTGTACTTCACTCCTGGCCTTCAGCATCATGTTTTTGGCGCTGCGGAAGCGCTCAACGATCTTCTGATGGAAGGCCTGCAGCAACTTCCAACAGCTTAGCGTCTCAAGGTTCTGGTTGCCTCGGTTTCAGTTTATTGGGGCTTACCATGGCTGTCCTAAACAATATTGTCCTGACCAGGTTTTGCAGTGTGACCTTCTCTGCAATCGAAACGCCGACAAGCACTGCTAGCAGTTCCATGCGGCCTCGAGATCCCTGCCGATGCCAGGTTCGAACCTGAGAGAGCACAGCACTTGGGTGTAAGCCAAGAGGCCCCTACGACATGTACCCAACTTCGTAAACCGATATCGTTCTGAGACTTTCGGATCCTGCCCCTTATCAGCTCCTCTGAGGGCATTGCAGGGTCAGCGACAGCTTGTCTTCCTCCACGGGGAGCAGCTCCCAAGCCTCCCAGGAGTAAGGAAAAAACAACCTTCGTGATGGGATAAAGCAGAAACAATACGTAGACTATTACAGTTACGTGAAATACTCGATAATGATAAGCAAAGCCGCCATTGGAAAGGACTTCTTGCGATACGCCCCAGACGTCAGGCCCTAAGCTCAAGACTACCCACCTTGTGGGCGTCTTGGTTCTGCATGCCCACCTGCAGGCTCGGAGCTCAGGGTGAGGGGTGGCTTTCTATAGGTGTTTCAGTTACGCCTTCCGTCAAAGGCTTCTCAACCCAAACGCCATGCGAGCATTTCACAACCGGAAACTTCGGAAGAATCCCGTCGCCCTATACCCTGAGCCCTGAACTCCTAGACCCACCTAAACTGCAAGCCTGACAACACCAAGCCCGATCCGACAACCTGAACTCCAGACACCGTAAACCCCACCAGTATATACCAGTATCAAGCCCGAACTGACATCATAAACCCGACCAGTATCAAGCCCGAAGGCCACTCACTGTGCGACCCTTCGAGACGGTTAAACACCTCTGACCCCCACGCAAGACGCCTCCTCGAAGAAGCTGAGCCAACCATCACGCCCTGGACGTGATCAACACAAAGAGGCTCTTCCGAAATATATTTATTGGTAGCGCACCGTGGTAAAGAATAAGAACCTTTCATGAATAGAGACAGCAGTAGCTACTGTTACAACGGCTTGAACAGTGCCTCCTCTTGATTCTATAGATCTTAGAGGCGCCGGGAGTAAATTCCTTCTTGTTTCCCTAGGTTTCATGCTTGCAGGTGGGATTCAGGGTTTACGGCAGATTGTCTATCTAGCGAGAGAGAGAGAGAGAGAGAGAGAGAGAGAGAGAGAGAGAGAGAGAGAGAGAGAGAGAGAGAGAGAGAGAGAGAGAGAGAGAGTGTGTGTGCGTGTCTGTCTGTCTGTCTGCCTATGTCTGCATGTGGGGCGCAATGCAAGGCATGCTCCTCACTGCTTAGAGCTGAGATGAGATCTTGAACCCAAGGTTGTTTGCTTGCTTCAACTCACTGTCTCCAGCACATCAGCCGCTCAACCTACGTAAGACGTAAGCATTCAAGCCTTCAACGTCAACATCCTGACTTGATCCCTCAGAAACCTTCAAAGTCTCGAGACCTCAACCGACGCGAATTCCTAAATCCCTATGACTGGGGCTCACGCCAATCTCCTTGTTTGCCTTGCCCTGCACCTTTTTCCATGCGCCTTGGAGAAGGGGGATTCGATCCTTGCAAGGCTTCAGCTTGCGGAACTTTGCAAATTTCGGGCTGAGCGTACTACAGGGGCCTTAATGAGTAGAATAGGGGTTTTGGGGCATGCTATACTATGACTACAATAAGAAACCCCCAAAATAGTGTTGGTAATTTTTATATATTACAGAACACTCCCTAGTCTACGAAGCAGCTGGTGCATCGAGCCATAAGCTCTTGGCTCCTGGACCTGCCTTATTTGTCACAAGCCCATCAAGACAATCAGCGAAAATCAAACTGAAATTTGCCTATCCTTTATCGCACTCTCCAAAGAAATCTCAACGAGTTTGGAAAGCCGCAGGGGTTGCATCTAGGGGTTGTAGTTCCTGGGATGATGAAGTCAGCTTGCACTCCTAACCTCAGCAGTCCAAGTTCCGGTTCACAGGGCAATACCGTTGCAGTGTTTCCGTCGATTCTAGTTTGCATGTCACGTGCCTTCTGCCTGCCAGCCAGAACCGGAACTGAGTGCAGCGCGCGTAATGGTGCCGAACCTGGCAGCAGGCGCGAATGTGAAGATGTGTGACGATCAGGTGATATGGATATGGGAACCTGTAGACGCTGTAGTCCTCTGATCCAGGCTCGCCTTATTTATGGTTTATAGGGTGTAAGGTTTAGGATTACCAACCTTGATGTCCCCAGTGCTGGAGCAGCACCCCGCACACACGACTGTCATGCCCAGCGTGATGCACAGACAAGACACAAGTCAGACGGGCACCATCTCTGAACCTTACCTTAAGCCGGAATAACCGACCTTTTTAGGATTCCTTATTATGATTTCCGTATATAAGTCCTTAAAAAGGTAGGTTATTCCGGCTCAAGGTACTGCACACCCACCGATGTACAACCGTCCTCTCAGCCAGTATATCCGTCAAAAAGGTGTTATCATAGGAGCACCGGAGACATGACAAACGTTCAAGCTCCTAAGCTCTAAAATGCCAATCTCTCACCACCCCACAACATTTCTATACATGGACAACCTGATCAATCCCAAACCCCAGACCCAGCCCCCACGTGACCAACGAGGGAGCCTTTTCACCAGGCGACGACGGACCTCCAGAATTGCCTTCTTCCCTGGGCGCTTGGCACGCTCCTGAAGTCTGGCTTGCGAAGGGTTGCGGATTTGAGAAATGCTGGGCTTTGGGGTTCTAATGTGAGCTGCTATGAGCACACTAGCAACGGATGACAGGCGTCCAGCAGAAGGTAGTCGGAGGTCATACAGGAACACTTCCGAGTGGTTACTTAAGTTAAAGCCCATGCATGTGAGAGTGGATGCTTTTCTGCCTTTTCATACGGTCTTCGTAGAAGCTGGGCATACCCCAAGCTGCAAGTCGGGGGTCCTGTGCTGCATGCTCGGCCCCGAATGCGACGCCATCGGGTTGCTCCTGCCGCTCTGAACGGTTTGATGGTAAGCCCTGAACCATAAACTCTACACAGTCAAACCCAAGCCTGGTGCCGCGTGATTTTCGCTTTGCTTGTGTGAAGGCCAGAAACCCAAAGAGAGAGAGAGAGAGAGAGAGGCAGACAGAGAGAGAGTGAGAGAGGCAGAGAAAGAGAGAGAGAGAGAGAGACAGAGACACAGAGAGACAGAGAGACAGAGAGACAGAGAGACAGAGAGAGAGAGAGAGAGAGAGGGAGAGAGAGAGAGAGAGAGAGAGCGAGAGGGAGAGGGAGAGGGAGAGGGAGAGGGAGAGGGAGGGAGGGAGGGAGAGAGGGTGTGAGACAGAGCTATATATATATAGAGAGAGAGAGAGAGAGAGAGAGAGAGAGTGTGAGAGTGTGTGTGTGTGTGTGTGTGTGTGCAGTCTTGCCCTCGAGCGCGGGTGTGCGGGTGTGTGTTGTGTGTGTGTGTGTGCGCGTCTGTATTGCCATCCCTGTCTGCTTCTCCGTTGAGGGATATGACTCACGAAGACCGCTGAAGGCGTGGCAGATACTTGCGTTGCCACCGAAATTACTACGATGACGACTAGGAACCAATACTCCTTTCGTCGTCAATCTTGTCTTTTTCATCGTTATTATTGAGATGATGACGACGACGATGACAAAGATGGTCCTTGTGGTGGAGGCACCAGGACCAGCACCATCGTCACGAACGTCGACAGCAATAGCGTCACAGGGACAGTAATTATGGCTCGTCTTTCTCTGCATGGAGTGCAAGACTAACGGGCAGCGTTTGCCCTGACCATATCGACCATAAGAAACAGCAGAAACAAGGTAGTCTTTCATGCAGCTTCGCTCAGCCAGGCTTCATACTACTTGGTTTCTGACGCCCATCTCGCGACCCGAAAGCAACCTTCTTCCTTCTGCGGAAGCCCTCACCACCGTCAAAGCAAATGTCTCGCCGTGCTGCCTGTAATTACCTCACAGAACTGACCTCCCGAAACACCCTAAACCCGGGTCCTGCAAGCTTGACTTCTGCTGCTGTATCATGAGCCGGGTCTTCCTCGGCGGCTCTTGCGATTTCAAGAACATCTCAGGATAACCTGAAGCAAAATCAGCTTGATCCCGAATGCGGCATTTCAATTATTCCTAAACCACGAAACCTTACGATAGACCCTCACAGAATCGAAGGAAGGTACGACAGGAATTGGTGTAAAAGATATTCAAGCATGCATCCCAGTTTGTGGTCCTTGCGACCGTCATGGGGGCGTATTCGAGATATTTCGCCTGCAGCCTCTGAGCCCCTAAAAGAGATTTCCTTCATAATATGATGTAGTTTACACATGTATGCTATAATCTACCAGTTACAACAGACCACAATAGACTAAAACATACTAGTTACAGTCTTGTGGACGCCTAAACCCTCAATAAATCCTCACCCCTAAGCCCGAATCTCCTTTTGGTGGACCCTAAACCCTATAGGCCATAAACCGATATTAAATCTCCAGCCCTAAGCCCGAATTTCCTTTATACTAGTTACATTCTTGTGGGCCCTAACCCTAAACCCACATTAAATCCCCACCCCTATATGAGCCCGAGTAGGGTTTTAGGGTTTATAGGGTTTTACCTTTTGGTGGGCCCAGCTTCGTGGACTTCATGGCATCCTCCGCCACTTCCCGGTCAATCAGTGAGAGGCGAACTTCGCCAGTCCTCTTGGGATCCTGGCGGCCGGGAGAAGCGGAGGGACTATGGGGCTTCAGCGTATCGGATCTAGGACTTAGGGGTTTTAGGGGGTTTAGGGGGTTTTAGGGGTTTTAGGGGGTTTAGGGGGTTTAGGGGGTTTAGGGTTTAGGGTTTCGAGTCTAGGCTTAGGATTTAAGATTTGGGAAGCTAGGGTTTGGGCTTCCGGATTTAGGGAAATCGAAGCCCACCCACTACACACCGACGCTTAACCCGCTTAACAAATCTCCCCTCCACCAAGACCCGGAAGCGGAAGTGTAGGAACAAACCCACTGAAGTCTCCATCCGAGGCACGAGAAATTCGAGCAGCCGGAACATGCCATCCGTCAGCTTGATCTCGTGGCAGAGTTGGCGGAAGTCCTGTAAGAACGGCGAAGTTGGAGGGTGCCGGGCCTGTTCTCCGTTGGATGTTCCAGCTCTTGTACGGTTGTTCATAGGGATCCTTAGGGGTGTAGGGGGGAGGGGTGTACGGGACTATATTTCCTTAAATAGGCCTTATTAGTCCTTATTATGGGCCTTAAGGCCCCCCACCCCCCCTCCCCCTACACGAGTCTGTCCGGAATATGGCGCAAGCTAGCTTGCCTAGGGCTCCCAACTAGGTCTCGCGCGGCCATGCTGCTCATAATTGACGTCTCTTGAGGGTCCAGGGTTCACTGACCGACCTGAACTAAGTAATTTAGGGGCTTAATATTTAATAGGCTTTTGGGGGTTCCTTACAAGCCTTATATTACAATATAGTCTAACATACCCCCCCAAAACCCTAGTCTAATGATTAAGGCCCCTCCATTGAGATTCGTATACGAAACCCTTTTCCCTAGGGATCTAATCTAAGGACTCATATATGAAGGCTCTTGTGCCCAAAGACCATAAACAAAAAGCATATGGTTGTGATATCCCAGAATCCCCTCTTTGGCTCCTGATATAAGGCTGTTGGGCTATTTTGATCCCTAGGGTTTGCGGGCCCGAGAGGAAGGCTTCCTCAAGGACCCGCGACTTGAGCTCGCGGGACTTCTTGAGGAACCGAGCTGCTCAGTTTTCCCCTAAACCCATAGCCGTAAACCCTAAACCCCTGAACCCTAAGCCCTAAACCCTAAACCCCTAAACCCCAAACTGCGTACTTTCAGCTCGCATATCACCGAAACCCACTTCCAGAAGAGAATCGTAGATGCTCTAAGCAGGTTTTGGAACTCAGGGTCTCCATAGGGCTTGCTGGCCTAACATAGGGGCCTTGATAATTAGAATAGGAGGTTTTTGGAGCC